TCTGGTGTTCTTCATCTCCTGGACGGGTGAGGATGACTCACCGATGCTTTGGAGGCCTGGCTGTACAGATGAAGAGGGAAGGCAGCTCTGTTCTCCTCCTCCTCATCCTCAGTGCTGTTGGTGGAGTTGTTTCCCTGCATCACACACAGCACGGGCTGATTGTTAACAAGCGTCAAAGTAGGAGTTCAACAGCCGTTCAGAGCACAGATCAGTACACTCACCATCATTTCTATCAGGTCCAGCGACTGTTCACTGTACTGTCTGAATTTATGGTCCATCCACCTGCAGCTCAGAGAGGAGCCGGAGCCGCACAGGCCCAGGAGGAGGAGGAGGCACGCAAAGAAGATCCTGCCCAGCATTTTGTTTCAAAGGCGTCCAAATGGTCTTTGTATGAAGGCTATTGGGATGTCACCTGCTGTTCTGTTCTGTTTGGGCCAGAGCTGGAGTACTCTTTTAAAGAGCGGCTCGCATATTTCATTTTCTTCTCTAAAATGTCAGCTGTGGTATTCCACACACCTCATAGGTAGCCCAACGTGAAACTGAAATCTCTATTGTTCCGGTTTACTGCCTTTGTTTGGAGTAAATCCACTGGATTGGGCTGTTGTTATATATGGCGTGCAAGTAAAGTTCTAATCCAAAAACAAAAGTCTGAGTCTAGACGTTTGCACTAAGGTTTTATTTTCACCCCCCAAAAAAGAGTGATGTATTGAAGAGTGCCACAAAAAGGTCAGCAAGTCCAATCTATTATATGGGAGAGGGGGGATCCAAAAAAGACCAGTTGAAAAAGAATGAATGATTTTTTAAAAAGGAGCAAAAGAGATGCTTTTCTTTTTGTATTTACCTTTTCCTCACGGTATGACAGTAACACGTGGGTCTGTTGGTGGCTTTCAGACGTTTATCTTAACGCTGCACGTGACAAGTTCAATAAAACTATAAATCTTTTTAACTAAAAAGTTTCGTCATTCCCTCTCTTTTGTGAACGTCATTTCGTCACTACAGGCGTGAGGACGCAGAAGGGTCCAACAGGAGCCAAACAGGGAAAGTTTGCACGAAGTGAAAACGAAACTCGGACTCAGTTTTCTCACGCTCATTCATAGGAATGGACGGCTGATATTTCACGTTGTTTTAACTTGGAATCTGCAGGTTTAACGTGAGAAACTCGCGTCCTGAAGACGATGACGTTTCACTTCAGCTTTGAATGAACATAATAGATCACATTGTGATTTGCAAAAGTTCACAGCAACCCCTGATTTATTCAGAATTCCTCCCCAAACAGACAAACTTCGTTTTGCTTTTTGGTTTGTTTGTTTTTTGACTCCACGTTTTAGAAACACATTTTAAGTAGAAACAAAAGATAAAAGTCCAGTTTTTGCGATTAGAATAATTTTTTTTATTTCATTTATGATTTTTTTTCATTTATTGATTTATTTATTTATTTAGTGTTTTTTTACGCACCATCATTCATTCGTGCGTAAAAATAACTTCATTCATCTAAACGTTTGTATATAACGACGTGAAGCCACTTTTTCCTTGTAAAGTATGAATAATGCTGACAAAAGAGCTCCCAATCAGTTCTTTTTTTATTTATAGAGTGTCTTGCCGAAATTTGCTCATGTAAAAATCACACATCCCCTGATTTTCCCGTGTGGATGATTGTTTGGGTATCGATCGTTTTACGGCTCAAATCTCATAAAAATGATGTTGCAATGATGTTGTAAACGAATAACTTGTCCCTCATACATACCTTGATTCCGAAAGGGTTGGCATTACCTGAATGCGCGGAGGTAAAAAAAAGGTGACGAAATAGAAAATGAAATATGCGAGCCGCGCTTTAAAAGAGCCGCTGCAGCTCATCCCCAAACAGAACAGAACAGCAGGTGACATCCCAATAGCCTTCATACAAAGACCATTTGGACGCCTTTGAAACAAAATGCTGGGCAGGATCTTCTTTGCGTGCCTCCTCCTCCTCCTGGGCCTGTGCGGCTCCGGCTCCTCTCTGAGCTGCAGGTGGATGGACCATAAATTCAGACAGTACAGTGAACAGTCGCTGGACCTGATAGAAATGATGGTGAGTGTACTGATCTGTGCTCTGAACGGCTGGTTAACTCCTACTTTGACGCTTGTTAACAATCAGCCCGTGCTGTGTGTGATGCAGGGAAACAACTCCACCAACAGCACTGAGGATGAGGAGGAGGAGAACAGAGCTGCCTTCCCTCTTCATCTGTACAGCCAGGCCTCCAAAGCATCGGTGAGTCATCCTCACCCGTCCAGGAGATGAAGAACACCAGA